ATTTTGAGAGTACATGTACATGTATAATTTAATGTATATTGTATGAATTGATTAAAATCTTTTGTGCTTTTTATTTCTCTACAGATCTTGAGATGGCCATTGCCTACTGGAATCTTATTTTTACTGGTCGCTTCAAATTTTTGGACTTGTGGTGTGAATTTTTAAGAGTAAACAATACTTGTAATTACATGTAAAGGTCACATTTCATCTCTCTCTCTCCCTTTCTCCCTCCCTCTCTCTCCCTCCCTCTCAGTCTCATTATAAAAAAGCTGGCAATACCCAAAGACACTTGGAACCTTCTGCTAGAGTTTTCTAACAGGATTGATGACACCATGAGCAATTATGATGAAGATGGTAGGTCTATACTGTATTAATTGTAATGTCCTCCTCTTTAAATAATTTGTATTTTGTACAGCACTTTAATGTATGGCAGCTTTATTTCTTTGTAAATTTTTTGATGATTTTATGAATATACATGTACAGCACTTCAGGAGCGTATCTAGGATTTGGAGAAGGAGGGTGCTGAGGGCGCGCGAAGCGCGCTGCGATTTTGTCCACACCCATTTTTACGGCGGTAAAATGGCCTTTTCCTGCATTTTCGTCAATTACGGGGTGGGGCCAAGATCATTTCAAGCATACTGCTATGTTACTGGTACTTCTGATTGCTCCTTAAAGCACTGGAAACTGCTGAAATCATGATAAGGGGGCTAGATAACTTTGTTAAGAGGCTTGGTAGTGATGCAAGAGTCCAGGAGTTCAGTAATTTTTTCTGAACCCAGCCCTGAGGGGGGTGCTCAAGCCCCCTCAGCCGCCCCCCTAAATACGCCTCTGGCACTTTACTATGAACATGTACATGTACATTAATGATTATATGGTGGGTTTATTATTCATAGGTCAGTATATACTCTAACTATGTATATGTACAAATTCCTCGGTTCTTCTTTGTGTCTGATCCAGCACTACTGGAGATACTGGGAAATATATTGGGTATCTGAAAAATACCCAAGGCCCATGGTTTGTTCCAAAAAATGGCTCCAAAATCACCCCAAATTTTTATTACATTATCAGATACATATTGATGCCCTTATGCTGTGTAGAAAATTTGAGGTGATTCCGACTTCAATTTTTCAAGTTACAGCCATTTTAAGAAAAAGCCAAAATTCTCAAAAATACCCAAGGCTATAGCCTAGGGTTTTTTCCAAAAAATGGCTCCGAAATCACTCCAAATTTTTATTACATTTTCTGATACATATTGATGTCCTTATGCTGTGTAGAAAGTTTGAGGTAATTCCAACTTCAATTTTTCAAGTTACAGCCATATTAAGAAAATGCCTAAATTCTGAAAAATACCCAAGGCTATAGCCTAGGGTTTTTTCCAAAAAATGGCCAAAATATCGCCCCAAATTTTATAAGATGTTCTGGTACATATTGATATCCTTATGCTGAGTAGAAAGTTTGAGGTGATTCCGACTTCAATTTTTCAAGCAACGGCCATTTTAAGAAAACGCCAAAAAATTCTCAAAAATACCTAAGGCTATAGCTCATTGTTTTTTCCAAAAAATAGCTGAAAAGTCAACCCAAATTTTTATTACATTTTCTGATACATATTGATGTCCTTATGTTGTGTAGAAAGTTTGAGATGATTCCCACTTCAATTTTTTCAAGCTACGGTCATTTTAAGAAAATGCCTAAATTCTGAAAAATACCCAAGGCTATAGTCCATGGTTTTTTCCAAAAAATTGCCAAAAAATCACCCCAAATTTTTATTACATTTTCTGATACATATTGATGTCCTTATGCTGAGTAGAAAGTTTGAGGAGATTCTGACTTCAATTTTTCAAGCTACAGCCATTTTAAGAAAACGCCAAATATTTCTCAAAAATACCTATGGCTATAGCTTATTGTTTTTTCCAAAAAATAGCTGAAAAATCACTCCAAATTTTTATCACATTTTCTGATACATATTAATGTCCTTATGCTGTGAAGAAAGTTTGAGGTGATTCCAACTTCAATTTTTCAAGTTACAGCCATTTCAAAAAATTCCAAAAATATCCAAAGCTATACACGTAGCTGTATTGGCTGTCTCGACTCCACCCCTCGTGCCGTTATCAGCCATACAGCACTCTTTACTGTTCTATAACTATTATGTATCCCATCAATATTGAAAGTTGTATTTTAAAGTTTGTATTAGGCCCCCCAAGCCCCAAGAGTTCACTATAAACCTGAGACTAGGGGCCCCTTTAATTGGGTGCCTACTGCTAATTCCCCATTGCCCCCTCCTATTGGTAGTCATGCATGATGTACATGTGACTAGTAACGTGTTATCTTGTAGAGTACATTATCAATGATCGTACACCACGAATTTTCGGACACTTGTTTTAGAAAAACTATACATTGCCATCTCATGAAACTGCAAAGTATTATAGCAATAGTTATCCTTTATTTGCGTGACAAAATTTGTAGCTCTAGCAAGAGTGCATAGAAAGTTATAAGCTCTCAAAGCGTGGTGTCCGACAATACCAATAATCGGCCAAAATTCTCAATCTTCGGACTGTCATTTCTGAACGGCAGCAAAGGATAGTTTTAGAAGGTCACTATGATAACTTTGTAGGCCTGTCTTTAAACTAACTATCACCATCCGGATCTTTTTGATAGCTG